GGGAACTCACAAGTTAAGTATGAGCATTATAGTCAGGAGGTGTTAGAAACCTCTAGGGCAGCGGTTCTCAACCTGTGGGTCGCGACGCCTTTGGGGGTCGAACGACCCTTTCACAAGGGTCGCCTAAGACCATCGGAAAACACATATTGTTTTTGTGATTAATCACTATGCTTTAATTATGTTCAATTTGTAACAATGAAAATACATCCTGCATATCAGATATTTATTTACATTACGATTCATAACGGTAGCAAAATTACAGTTATGAAGTAGCAACGAAAATAATTTTATGGTTGGGGGTCACCACAACATGAGGAACTGTATTAAAGGGTCGCGGCATTAGGAAGGTTGAGAACCATTGCTCTAGGGGTTAGAATATTTGCACTACTTGATTTGAGCAGCTGAAAAGCATAATTTCAAAGACTTTCTTCAATGGTGACTAAAGTTTTATGGGTTCTAATAGACACCCTATAACTGTGCAAAATATAAATTTGGAATTTGACATAAAAGCATGGCATGAACAAATAACCCAGTTCACAGTTGAGAATATTGGAAAGCAATTTTTAAAAATTTTACTGAACAATCCTGAGCTGTCTTCTGTGCCTGCTCTACATGTTCTCCTTGGAAGCTCTTGCCAATGTTTCAAGTAAAATCTCCAAGTTTCCTCACTCTAAGTCAGAGAAACCCACACTGATAAACTTTGCAACTGAACTTTTGCTATGTGCAATTGGATGGACATCATCAACTTCCAGGGCAGAATTAAAGACATTAGGTACGCTTTGCTCATAATGCCAATGACATTGGATCTTTCCATAAACCTATTTTCACAATCTATAACCAAGTGCCACAACCACCAAAGAATGAGCCAAGAGCCATGCAAGCCCCTTCATTCGACTATGACTCCCAGGCATCCAGAATTTGTACGATATAATGGGAAGAGCATGTGCTTCAGTCAAGCCAAATTGGATTTGGATCCTAGTCCCACCACTCACTAGCTGTATAATGCTGGCAAAGTTCCTAAACTCCTCTAAGCCTTGTTTCTGCACCTGTAAAATGGGGATGATAACAGTACCAATCTCTTAGGGGTGCTATGAAAATTGAGAGGTAATGGAGATAGGAAGCTTGGCATAAGGTACTTAACAAGTATTAGCTATTAATAAAATTTTTTTAAAAAAAATATTTTAAGCCCTGGCTGGGTAGCTCAATTGGTTGGAGCATTGTCCCATGCACCAAAAGGTTGCAGATTCAATTTCCTGTCAGGGCACATACCCAGGTTGCAGATTTGATCCCAGGTTGGGGCACTTAGGGGAGGCAGTTGATCGATGTATCTCTTTCACATTGTTGTTGGTCTCTCTCTCTCTTCCTCTCTTCTAAAATCAATTAAAACATATCCTCAGGTGAGGATTAATACTATATATATATATATATATAGTCAGGTAGCTCAGTTGGTTAGAGCATCATCCCCATATGCCAAGGTTATAGGTTCAATCCCCAGTCGGTGCACATACAAGAAGCAACCAATGAATGAAAAAGTGGAAATAACAAATCATTTCCCCCCTCTCCCTGAAATCAATAAATAACACTTTAAAAATTATTTTGGATTAATGCAAAGGAGCTGATTCTAATTTGTTGGTCTTTAGCACTAAAGCTTAGATGTCAGCATTGCAGCAGTATCTCGATGATTTTCATCTTGTCAAAATCAAGGTAAGTTTCCCACTGTGGATTTTTATTTTCCAGGGAGAGGGGCACTTTCTTTCTCTAAGTTGAGGTAAGAATTTGAAAATTGTGGCTAACATCTAGCTTAAACGATCATATCCTGCCAATGTTAAATTAAACTCACCCTGAATGCTGGAGATTGAATATCTGTATCATAGTCTGTTCAGACTTCAAATGTTGACCAGTGCTGCTAGGCACTGTTCAACAGAGCAGAGGGGGAAAGGGTTATTATGGCAGAAAGAGAAATGAACAGTACTTAATGAACTTGCATTTCAATTGAGCAGGGTTTTTAATATTTTTTAAAGCTTTTCATAAATTCTTTTGCTCAGCAACAATATAAAAAGGGAAAGAGCACTTAGCTGGGAACAATAGCTACTCAGTTCATAAAAATCATTAGAAGGAACATTTTCTTTGTCTACCATGCCCAGCAATTTCACTGGTAGGCAATAATCCAGATCACTTAGATTCTACCTTAAAAAAATGAGCCCCGAAAACCTTCTCAACTTTACCAGCTAATAAATTATTCTAACAAAAATCTTAATTTCATAATATGTATAACTCCACCAGAAATGAAATTTTAGCTCATAATTCATGTAATGTTTTTGACAAGTACATGATACTGATCTAGTGTTAATGAGATACGCTCTTTTGGTTGCCTTTCCATTAGGAGGGAGGAGCGATGCTGACACATTTACTCTCTGCCATCAAATCCCCCGTGCAGCAGAGGCCTTATTTCAGGAGGTGACTGCGGAGCGAGGTGCAGTGCCTGCGAGAGCGTGGTTCCACGGTGTGAAATGAGCTGGCCTACTTGGATTTTCACTCCTCACTCAGCCTCTGTAGCTCATCCTAAGTGGGTGGGTTGAGTCAGAGAAACTTCACATCTTTGACCATCAAGGGCCTGGCTCATTCATCTTCTCTGACAAATGTCATTAAACTACCTTAAGCTAATTGCCAAATGTGTTGAAGATATGTCATTAAAAGCTCTTTACTGTGTTCAAGGTTTCCTATGACAACCAAAGAATTTTTGTACTTGGATAAAATATGTTATTTCTAATGACCCTGCTGGATAATCATAAGCTTCCATTTCTTAATTCAAAAGTACCAAGAAAAAAACACACTCTATGTTTAAGAATCTTTTCTATTTAGCTTGAGCATACTATACATTTTAAGAATGAATTTATATTTTTACTGCATGACATAGTAAATGTACAATATTTGCTGAATGACTAAGATGCATTTCAAATCAAATAAAGAAATGGTTTAAGAATCAACAAATGACAAGTGCTGGAGAGGATGTGGAGAAAAAGGAACACTCGTGCACTGCTGGTGGGAATGCAGACTGGTGCAGCCACTATGGAAGACAGTATGGAGTTTCCTCAAAAAGTTAAACATGGAACTCCCATTTGACCCTGTGATCCCACTTCTAGGAATATATCCCAAGAAACCAAAAACACCAATCAGAAAGGATATATGCACCCATATGTTCATAGCAGCACAATTCACCATAGCTAAGATCTGGAAACAGCCTAAGTGCCCATCAGTAGATGAATGGATTAGAAAACTGTGGTACATCTACACGATGGAATACTATGCTGCTGTAAAAAAGAAGGAACTCTTACAATTTGCAACGGCATGGATGGAGCTGGAGAGCATTATGCTAAGTGAAATAAGCCAGTCAATGAAGGAAAAATACCACATGATCTCACTCATTCATGGATAATAGAGACCATTACAAACTCTTGAACAATAATAGATACAGAGGCAGAGCTGCCTCAAACTGATTGTCAAACTGCAGTGGGAAGGCCAGAGAGGGGGCCGGGGGAAGGTCAAGGGGGAAAAAAAGGAGACATTTGTACTACTCTTTGTAATACTTTAAGCAAAAAAAAAAAAAAGACTAAATAAAATAGTCTTCCACAATCGACACACTTTTCCCTTAGTAACTTCTCTCCACTTTTGACTTTATGCTGGAGATTGGTACCATCAACCATAGTCTAAATGGCATCCTGGACTCCCTTTTAATTGGCTGTCCATTTGACTTACACTTTCTCTGGAATCTAAGAAAAAATCGTTTTGTTTTTGAAAGGTCCTTCCTGCTCCCTCAGATTGCATCTAAGATAAAAAAATTAAACAGAAGCTGCAATAGCAACAAAGACTTAATTAAGAAGAATATGCAATGACAACAAATATGTACAAGCAATCTTTACTGAAGATAGGTAACCATTCAAATAAGCCTTTACAGATAATGAGGATGGGTAGCTGTTTAAAATCCAATTTTACGACATTGCCACTTAGAGAATGACTACTGAATATCTACCTAAAATAGCAGTTGTATCATCTGAAACTGTTTCAGGTAGCTGTACTTAAATTCTACATTCCTGATAATGTTTTTAAAAAACAATGCCTTAACTGATTTGACTAGGGTTGGGGGGACCCAAATCCTGCCCTGCTACATAGTAAAGATGACCACTAATCATTTCACTATTCTCTCTATCCTCTCCCTTTGAAATCTAGGCGGGCTCTATGACTGCCAGTGTTCAGAGCGAGGTGGATTGCAGCTTCCACTTCCTGTCTCTTTGGACCACTTTCTACCATCGTGTGATGATGCTCTAGTAGCCACTGGAGAAGCCTCTGTGGAGAGGAACTGGGGCTCCCAGCCAGCAGCCAGTACTAACTTGAAGTGGCTCCAATTGAGGCTGCATGAAATAGAGACCAGCCATCCCCACCATGTGCTCCCAAATTGCAGATTCAAGAGTAAGATAAATGATTACTGGAACACACCTCAAACCTTAATTCAAGGTATTCAAAGATTTATATTTAAAGGAGCAGTGAAAGAAGTAATACTTACATTTTTTGAGTACTTTCTATGTGACTGAATGCTTTACACATTATTTCCTAAAACACCTTACTAGGATTATCATTTCCTCTATTCTATAGATGAGGCGATTATAGACACTGCCCAAGATCAAGTTATAGGAGGATAATATTCAAAACAACAACTAACTCTAAGGCACATGCTTAGTAGAAAAATGAGAATGAAAGAAATTCCAAGCTAATGCTGGGGACTCAAGTTCTCACGAATACAGTATGCATTAGAAAGTATGTCAATTAAAAGGTATCTCCTGAGGGTGCCCATATATATATTGCTTAGCATAACTTTCAAAATTAGTGGTAACATTTTGTGAAGTATAGTATTCAGAAAACATTTTCTTAGTACTTACAACTTTATGATGGCTACTAAATACAAATGTTCCACACTGAAGAGGTTACAAAGATAAATGACAACATTTTTGCTCAAAAGGTTCTTTAATGGAGAAATAAGGCATATTACACACAGTACCAAGATATAAGTACTATAAAGTGAGCAATAAAGTGGTGTGGAAATATATTCATTCATTCATTCAACCAATATTTACTGGGTGCCAATGTGGCAGTAAACAAGAAAGATATGGTCTCTGCTCTCCGAGAGTTGATTCATATTACTTTTACTGGAAGCACCAGGAAAGAAGAGATACATTTTAGCTTGGCCTTCAGGGACCTCTAGACTTTGAGCATATGAAGATCTGAGGATTAGAAGGGCATCTAAGGTACAAAGATAACAGTGAGCAGAAAAATGAAAAACACTGAAGCGCAATAAAATTAGGATGTGCAAGGAGACTTTAAAGCAAGAATGATATTTTACTAACTCTGAAATTCAATCAACTTTAAGTCAGGCCATTAGTTTATGTACCAAAAGAAAACATACTACACATTTATAGCATGGCTCTCAACCAGGGGCAAGTTTGCACCCCCCGGGATCATTTGGCAATGTCTGTAAACATTTGTAGTTGTCACAACTGAGGGGGTGCTACTGGTCTTTAGCAGATACAAGCATGGATTTTGCCAATCGCCCAACATTGCACAGGAGAGCTCCCACAACAGGAATGATTCAACTCAATACTGATAATATTGCCAACATGGAGAACTTCCGAACTACAGGATGCAATAAACCAAAGATGCATCTAGATATTAAAAATTATTTTTAGATAGATAAAATACAGTAGTTCAGTTTATCTGGGATGAACTCAGAATTTGTAAAGTAGTACATGCTAGAAAATAATGCTGGTAACTCTGTATCTGAATCTGTTTTCTCACCTTTGGAATAGTAAAGTGATGATGACCAGTGGCTGTTTTAAGGAAATAATTTAATGCAGTGTAAATCACAGGGCCAGCCCCTCAACACCATATGTCAACCCTTTGCTTTTGAGAAACCCCACACTCTATTCACAATAAATATCCCATTTCTACTCTTCTGACTGATCTCAAAAGAAATGTACTGACTTTCCAATCATATAAAAACAATATCGCTTATTGTTTTTAAAGCCCAGATCTATGCCACTTACTCTATGGAGCTCCCTCAATGCTCTCAGTTTAAAATATTCCTTTCTTCTCTTTAACTTCCTTAGCATATCATCTATACATCTCTAATAGTATTCATGTGATTTATCTTTTTTCGAAATATAAGACCCTTTGGGTCAGGATCTATGTCTGGTTCACACCTGTAACTCCCACAGGGCCCACAACAGCATCCTACACATTGTAAGTGGTCAATGAATATCTGAATGAATAATTGAATAAATATACAGTACCGGAAGACTATAATTAAATACAAACTCCTCAGACTTCTCACAGCTCTTTCAGCCTTTCCTCATAGGGCTCATTTTGTAAATCTTTAATCATTTTAGTAGCTCTCCAAGTTCTCATGCTTCAGCTATAGGGTCTCAGAGAGAGCAGAGTTCTTTAACGAGTCCTAACCACTACTTCAGAAAATACCATTCTGTAAATTCCATTAAGTTTCAGATCATTTCCCCATGGGATAGCAGTCTGTGTTTGGTCTCAAAACATTTAAAGCCCCTTAAACAACAGAGTACTAAATTTCTCTGAGAAAACAGGGACAATGTGAGTATAAACATAGGAATAGGCAAAAGTAGATTTACAGTAACTTTATTAACTCAAAAAAATTCAATGCAACTGTAAACCTACTTTTGCCTCCCCTGTATAAACAGTAAAGACATTTCTATTTATTGCTCACAAATACCAATTACATTATTGAGGATCATATTTTTTGGATACTTTTTGTGAGGGAGAAGAATATGGGGAATTTTAAACTAATAGAACAGAAATATTAAAATGTATGATTATCACAGAGAAAGTAAGACAGTAAGAAAAAAAGATCACTTATAGAATTTTAAGGTGTTCTTTTAAAAGATAATAAAAAGACAGATTATTAATCTTTTATTATTATACCACATAACAGCGGAATAAATTATTTAGGGTTAGCACATGTACATGTATGGGAATTATGATGGTCAGTGGTGGTTTAGATTAAATACAAAGGACTTTGTTTTTTAAGCACCCCCTTTTTTTCCTTCATTGTAGTCCTTGAGCATCAATCAATGTTTGGTGGTTTCTTCCAGCAAGTCCTTTGCTTCATTTATTTTGGTTGCTAAGTATGGAGATCCACCTGAGGACAAAGAAAAATAATTGAATTAAAACACACTTTATTATTGACATTTTTAAGTCTCAAAAAGAAGAACAATCTTAATTATAATTCTCTGATATTTTCCCACCCATCCATTCTCTCACAAATTAATTTATAAGCTGACTAGAAATCAAAACAGCATAAATTAAACTTGTTTAGTGAAGCACTACAGATACCCAACAATCAAAGACAACATCTGTGAAAGATAATGAAAGAAAGTTATAATCAGGAATAATTTGAAAAACACTCAAACATTTTGCTGATCAGACATTACCATTCAAATATTTAACCAGAGAATTTTCTGAAATTAAGTGAATGGTGAGGTAAAGAAATCCACGGGCTCTTTTAGAGTCTAATCAAACCTTATAATTTCACAAAAATAAAATACAAGTTAAAAAGGCAACTATGTACTACCCAGTTCTAAAAATCATATTTACTAATACAGATGAACAAATAAATGAATGATAATAAAAATGTTAAAGGAAATGCTCCCTGTTCTCTGAAATGATCCAATTAGAATACTTATGAAATACAGTCTTACATTTACTGTGCCCCAAAATAAAATTAAGTCAGTTCTTACTTAGAGTTTTTTAAAATAAATTCTTTCTAATGCAAACAGCAAGAGAAAAATTGAGCTAAATTTCAAATTCAGAATCATTATAAATCACAAACAGAACCTATTTGACATATAAAAATACTAGCCCCACATTGTCATATTAAACCTGTTTAAGCATTGTACGCCTTCTAACTTCTAGTCCTAAACACTTTATTGCTTAACAGTCAAGCTAACAATCACTATAGTTCACCAGTTTCTTTGTTTTTATTCTCTCCGTGAATTTTCAATCACCGATAGCTGTTGAAAACATCATTAAGACCTCAGTAGCTTAAAAAGGTCCAAAAAACATATAGATAGTACTGGTGTAATTGTCCTGAGTTTATTCAAATCTTTTATTGATTAAGGAAAAAGAAAGCAAGGAAAACAGATCAACAAACATGGTGTTGTAGTATAAAGGGCAATGCAGGAGGAAGCTAAATTTAGCTTTTTGCCCTTGAGTATACCAGTTACATTTTCATATCAAGATCTAAATTGCTATACTTATGGAATATATCACAGTGTCCTTGAATATACAATAAAAATTATATATGAAGTTGATGAAAGTTTCCATATACACTTGATTATGAAACAAACTGATTTCATGATTTGAAAATAATCTTGGAATTAGGTAATGCCAATCTTTTTAAGCTGTTTAAATTTTTAGAGCTACCTAGGTAATGTCAGGTATCTTGTATGTTCTCAATAAATATTAAAATATTAACTCAAACACAACCTTTAATTGATTGGTATGCATTCTGGATATTTAAATCACAGGCTATAAATGCTCATTTAGCAGACAGAAAAAAATCAAAGGTACAAATCGAAAGTCTCATTAAACATACTCATCAATGGCAATGCTAGAGGAATGCTGGACTTTTCACTTATGTGCACAGTAGAAATTTTGGCTTGGCTCTCATTCTACCCTCCTAAGATTTGGAAAAGTTCCTAAGCCAAAAATTACAATTCCTACATTCCCTTCAAGTAGTGTTTGCTACCAATTGTGAAATTTGAAAGGCTGAAGTGAGGGTAAGGCTTTCTTGCTGGGCCTCTTTGTTATTGCTGCCAGCAAGCGAGGTCGTGGAGTAGCAGTGGGAGCAACAGCACCTCAGAACAGTTCTAGTGTCAGTCTAGGAGGAAGTAGCTTCCCTGACAGAGCCGCTGGTTTGGGGAGTTATTCTTATAGGCCTAGTTTAGAATTTATTCCTTCAGGCCTTCCAACAATTTGTAAACACTAGTTCCCTGCACTAAATGCCCTCCTGCTTAACGCATCTTGTTTCTGGCACTGACTCTTGATTGCTCTAACAATATGTGATATATATCCTATACTTAATGGGAACAATATACATTTGAATCTTTCAATTTTGCTCAATTTTATTGGGGAACCATCTAGATTCTATTTAATTAGAACACTCACCTCACCCTTGACCTCTGCACCTTTGTACTTCCACTAAATACTGCTAGAACTCTTATGCTTTGGGCTGTCATGAACTATCATATTTTAGACCCACCACCCCATTAACACTAATAGAAGAGTTGAATAAAATACAACACATCAATATGAAAGAACAGGAGGTCTACCCAGTCAGCCAAGTGTTAAGGGTAAAATCCTAGAGATAAGGAAAATGCATTATGATGAGCCCAATATTCTGCACTGATTTTTCCTTTCAAAGAAGCTAAACACCAGATAGTATCCTATATAATCCTATATAATAAAAGGCTAATATGCAAATAGAAAGGCGGTACAACCAGAATAACCGAACAACCAGTCACTATAACGTGTGCTGACCACCAGGGGGCATGTGCAGAACATGGCGGGCATTGGCCGTGGCAGGATGGTGGAGCAGGTGAGGGGGGCACCAGACCAAGGCGAGGCACCAGTCACTGTCATCAGGGCGAGCCTCTGGTGGTTACTGAAAATTCTTTGCTCTCTTCGCAGTCCCGCCCAGTGGCCAATGCCTGTCCCACTCCCACCTGCTGCTGGAGCCCGGCACCGGCCCTGATCACTCGGCCCCATCAGTAGGTGGGAGCAGCAGCTGCTGGCCCTGGTCGCCCCTGAGGGCTTCTCCATCTCCCCCTTCTCCTGAGGGGCGATCAGGACAGCAGCCGCTGCTCTCACTCAGTGATGGCGCTGGCACCAATCGCTCTGCACCATCAGGAGGTGTGAGTGCGGCTGGCGCCTTCAGTGTGTGGGAGCAGCAGGAGCAGGGCTGCAGGCAGACAGGGGAACCAGGGGCCATGGCGGGAGGGGCCGGGCAGAGGCGCAGAGGATGGGCCGAGACCTGCCCCTGTGCCTACTGCAGCCTCGTGGCCCATAGTTCATTTCAAGGTGCATGAATTTTGCACTGGGCTGCTAGTATACTATACAATTCCACTTATATGAAATGCTAGAAAAGAGATAGCTAATGTATGGTGGCCCAAATTGGGAACAGACTGGCAATGGGAAGAAGCACCAAGGAACTTTTAGAGTTATACAAAGCTAATATTTAGTTTATTTTTCTGTATATCTTTTGAGAACTTTCTTCATCAGGGCTTCCTATCAAAGATATGCTATCCTCATAAAAAGAATTAAAATGCATTATCTTTTCCTTCTATTTTTTGAAAAAATTCACTTGTAAAACTAACCTGGCCAAACATTTTATTTGTAGAAAGGTTTTTAACTAGATTCAATTTCTCAAATAGATAGCATACTTTTTCTTATTATTATTGTCTAAAGTTTTACATATGTCTCCTTTTTCCCTGATTGACGCCCCCCGCCCCCCACCCCCAGACATTCACACCCTGGGCAAGCCCCCACTGCCCCAGTATCTGTGTCCATTGGTTATGCTAATATGCATGCATACAAGTACTTCGGTTGCTCTCTCTCTGCCCCCGCCCCACCCCTGCCATTTGTCTCTGGACCTATTTTTGTTCATCAAAATATGTTGATCATTATATCCCACATATGAGTGAGATCATGTGGTATTTTTCTTTCATTGACTGGCTTACTTCGCTTAGCACAATGCTCTCCAGTTCCATCCAGGATGTTGCAAATGGTAAGAATTCCTTCTTTTTTACAGCAGCAGAGTATTCCATCATGTAGATGAACCACAGTTTTTTAATCTACTCATCTGCTGATGGATACTTAGGTTGTTTCCAAATCTTAGCTATTGTAAATTAGGCTGCTATGAACATAGGGGTGCATATATCCTTTCTGATTGGTGTTTCTGGTTTCTTGGGATATAGTCCTAGAAGTGGGATTACTGGGTCAAATGGGAGTTCCATTTTTAACTTTTTAAGGAAACTCCATACTGTCTTCCACAGTGTCTACACCAGTCTGCATTTCCACTAGCAGTGCATGAGGGTTCCTTTTTTTCCACATCCTCGCCAGCACTTGTCAGCTGTTTTGTTGACGATAGCCATTCTGACAGGTGTGAGATGGTACTGTATTGTTGTTTTGATTTGCATCTCTCGGATGATTAGTGACTTTGAACATGTTTTCATATGTCTCTTGGCCTTCTGTATATCCTCTTTGGAAAAGTGTCTATTTAGGTCCTTTGTCCATTTTTTGATTGGATTGTCATCTTCCTTTTGTTAAATTGTATGAGTTATCTGTAAATTTTGGAGATTAAACCCTTATCTGAAATATCACTGGCAAATATGTTCTCCCATGCAGTGGGATTTCTTGTTGTTTTGTTGATGTTCTTTTGCTCTGCAGAAGCTTTTTATTTTGATGTAGCCCCATTTGTTTATTTTCTCCTTAGTCTCCATTGCCCTAGGAGCTGTGTTGGTACGATATTGCTATGACATATGTCTGTTATTTTGCTGCCTATGGAGTGTTGTAGGTTTTTTATGGTTTCCCGTCTTACATTCAAGTCCTTTAGCCATTTTGAGTTTGTTTTTTTGTGTATGGTGTAAGTTGGTGATCTAGTTTTATTTTTTTGCATGTATCTTACCAATTTTCCCAGCACTGCTTATTGAAGAGACTGTCTTGACTCCATTGTATGCTCTTGCCTTCTTTGTCAAATATTGAGCATAATGACTTGGGTCAATTTCTGGGTTATCTGTTCTGTTCCACTGGTCTATAAGTCTGTTCTTGTGCCAGTATCAGGCAGTTTTGAGAACCGTGGCTTTGTAGTATAGCTTGATATCCGGTATTGTAATCCCTCCAACTATGTTCTTCTTTCTCAGGATTGCTGCAGCTATTCGAGGTTTTGTTTTTTTTTTATTCCAGCTGAATTTTTGGAGAGTTTGTTCTAGATCTTTGAAATATGCCATTGGTATTGTAATGGGGATTGCATTAAATCTGTAGATTGCTTTGGGTAGTATGGACATTTTAATGATGCTGATTCTACCAACCCATGAACATGGTATGTTCTTCCATTTGTTTATGTCTTCCTCTATCTCTTTT